ACATGAATGAATGTTGTATCTTATCAAAAGCCTTTCCTGCATCAATGGAGGTAATCATGTGGTTCTTGACATTGGATCTCTTGATATGTTGGATTACATTTATTGATTTACATATGTTAAACCATCCCTGTATCTCTGGGATGAAGCCTACCTGGTTGTAGTGTATGATTTTTTTAAATGTGTTTCTGGATTCTGTTAGCTAGAATTTTGTTAAGGATTTTTGCATCTGTGTTCATCAGGGATATTGGTCTATAGTTCTCTTTTTTTGTTGGTTCTTTGCCTGGTTTGGAGATGAGTGTGATATTGGCATTGTAGAATGAGTTTGGGATTGGAGATAAGTCTCATGGACTTTCATGCCTGGGTGTGGCTGAACCTCGATCCTCAAATCTCGGCTTCCTGAGTAGCTAGAATTACAGGTGTGAGTAATCTTTAAGTGTAGCTCTGTGACAAGTTTGGCTTAACATTATCAGATTCATTCTAGGACCCAATTTCTAATGTTTTCATAGCTCTTGGTCTAAGTTTCTTGACCTCTGCAATTTTCTGTAACACATCTAGAGATTTTGGAAAGGAGATTCTAGAAAATCAGTTCCAGACACTCAGGGATTTCTATCATGGGCCCTGATGTGGGACTCATGTGATCCACCATGGATTTCCTTGTTTTACTCAGGAAGTATTCATAAGTGGCCTTGTCCACAAAGAGAATGGCTTGTCACCTGTAAAAAAAATACAAAAAAAGACCGAGTGCTGGTGGTTCACGCCTGTAATCCTAGCTATTCAGGAGGTTGAGATCTGAGGATTGAAATTCAAAGCCTGTGCAGGAAAGCCCATGAGATTCTTACCTCCAATTAACCATTCAAAAACCAGAAGTTCTGCTGTGGCTTAAAGTGGTAGAGCACTAGACTTGAGCTGAATTGCTCAGGGACAGCACTCAGGCCCAAAGTTCAAGCCCCATGACTGACAAAAAAAGATACAGAAAAAAGAAGGAGGAGGAGGAGGAGGAGGGGGAGAGAGGGAGAGAGAGAGAGATACAAAGAAATTGCTGGTTACTCACACTTGTAATCCTAGCTACTCAGGAGGCTGAGATCGAAAGATTTTAGTTTGAAGTCAGCCTAGGAAGGAAATTATGAGACTCTTATCTCCAGATAACCACCAAAATGCCAGAAGTGGCTCAAGTGGTAGAACACCAGCCTTGAGCAAAAAAGCTAAGGGACAGGACACAGGCCCTGCACATGCATGTACAAGTGTGTGTACACACACACAATATAAAGAAGTCTTAAGGATCATGTACTACAGTTGGAAAGCAGAGTCTGAGAAGCAGGAGCAGATGCAGTCCTACTGTTCATTGCCTCCTGCAGTTCTGTCTTTGATCTTCCTCCATGTTCAGGGTCAGCCCTGGGTAGTGGTGCCTCTCCTTACTAACAGAGCTCTGGGTTGCTTGGCCAGGGTCTCCAAATCCAATATGATGCCAAGCTGGGCTCCCGCACCTGCTTTTGGGTTGACACATGAAGCAATGACCATTGTGAACACATCGTTCTTCTTTCTCTGCCTCTCCACTCCCATTCATGCTCCCAGTCACAAACGCTAAAAGCCTCATTTAAGATAGGCTCTTGGTGGCTGGGAATGTGGCTTAGTGGTAGAGTGCTTACCTAGCATGCTTGAAGCCCTGGGTTTGATTCCTCAGTACCACATAAACAGAGACTGGAAGTGGTGCTATGGCTTAAGTGGTAGAGTGCTAGCCTTGAGCAAAAGAAGCTTAGGGACAAAGTCCTGAGTGTCCTGTCCCTGCTACCTGCCAGCACCCAGCTCAGCCCAACAAAAAGGTAGATTGGTAGGTGACAGTCTTGTCTACCTGACTTGTCAAAGAACCCTTGATGGACAGGTCCTTGGCCTATCAAATCTAGCCAGCAGCCTAGATTTGAGCCCCAAGTTAAGGCTTGCCAAATACTTGGGTGATCGGTTCTAAGTGCTGGGACCTGACAGCCCAAGGATCCTCAGGCATTTAGCAAAGAGACACCTGCAAACCACTTTCCATGAGATGGGGCCAAGGGCAGGGCCAGCAGCTGCTCTGGGACTCTGTTTTCATGGGGAGCAAGAGGGAACTCGCCTGAGGGGTCCTTCTTGGCATGTCCCAACCGTGCTAACCTGGGTTCACACTCCAGCGCTTTGCCTGGCTGGGGGTGTGAGAATTTCCAGCCGGTGCCCTGGCACTCTGGGCTCTGGCCCCTCCCCTCCGCGACCCCACGCCCCCAGCCACACCCCTCACTTGCCCTCGGAGCACATCTCCAGCTGCCCTGTGCAGCCCGCAGGCACCCTCGGGTCACTCCAGGACCTGCCTGTCACGTCTCCTGGGCAACAGTCTCCAGGGAAACCGAGCCCCGCCCCTAGCACCGACACAGGGTCTGGAGCCCACCTGTGGGGGTGTCTGCTGGGTTGCAGCGTGGGGCCTGGCACCAGCGCTGGACTTGGTCATCCTGGGCCATGGTGGGTGGTCACTGGGGGTCCAGGCGCATGAGGCCTCGGGGAAGGGTTAGGCCCTGAGCAGACAGTGCACACCTCCCTACACATGCACACACACATGAATACACACGCCGAGGGCGAGGCTAGGGGATTGCTCCAGTGGTTGGCGGGGGCTGTGGGGTGCGAGCCCCTCCCTGTTGTTTGGCATCCTTTTGTGCTTTCTGGGCTATCTGGGTGTCACCCTTGGTGGCATAGACCAGCCCCCGGTGGGCTCCAGACACGACCAGGCTGTTTGGAACGTGCTGTTTTACTTGTGAGAGCCCGAGCAGTTCTTTGTGCCCATCTCCCCGCCCCGCCCCGTTGCACCCCAATTTCCACCCAGTATCCTGCCTGAGTGCTCATCCCTCCCTAGCGCCACCTTCTAGGCTCTGCCCTTGAACCTAGAGAGTCTAAAACCATCCACATCAGGTGCTTCTGGCCTGCTTCCTCGAAGGGATTCATCTTCCCGCCACCTTCTGGTGAATTCTTTCCTGGCCCTGATTCCCTGGCCTGAATTCCTGAGGAGGTATCCTTGCTGATCCTTCTCTAGCGCTTTTTATTATGCATATTGTTATATCTTTCCTATTTTGAAGGCTCTGTCCCATGCTTGTTCCTCATTCCTCTGCATCCAGCCTTCTATGATTTGTCTTATCTGTGGTGCTCACTAGAGGGCAGTGGAACTTATTTCTTCCTTCAGCCTTTGGCCTCCTGGTCTCTGGCTGACAGTGCCTTGGAAAGCCCTGGCCATTCTCCCAGGATGCTGAAGAAAGGACCCTTAGTATCCTTCCTTCTGTGGCCCCCCCTGCTGGCCACGGACCACGGAGCATCCTCCAGGGGTTGCTAACAAGCCAGAGAGCTCCCGTTTAGTTCCTGGGAAATGTGTTCCTATAATGAATGCATTTGCAGTGGGTATCTAAGAGCTTTGCTTTTTTTTGTCTTGTGGAGAAACCAGTAGTTTGGGTTTTCTGTTTGTCAACAGTTAGCTCACTTAGGGGCTTCCAGGTTGAATGCCCCCCCCCCTCCACTGTGGAGTTCATACCCAGGGTCAGGATTGGGAGTGGAGCTGGTCCTGGAGTTCCTCTGTCTGGGTTGGAGCTCTGGTGTCTTTTCTGCCCTTTCTTCAGGGTCATTTTTAAGAGTGCAGGAGGTTGGGGAAGAAATCACAGATGCACTGAGTAGGTCTCCCACCCCCTTGCCTTTGCTTTTCATCTCAAGCTCAACAGGGATGGATTTTCCTTAGTCTTGGGCTTTGAAAACAGATCCACATAGGGATCAAGCTAAGTCCATTCACTTCCTTTTTGTAGCCATTGAATAGAATTCAAACTCAGGTATGGCTGAGATCAATTACTTCACTTTCAAAAAGCCAAACAAAACCAACAAGCAGCTGTAAAAGCTCCATGTGAGTCATCTGAGTATCCGACCCCATTGTGTGCAGTCTCTGGAAGTTTGCTTTAGGGCCACCAAATGGAGCTGTTGGTTGGCACTGACAAAGATGGTTAGGAAGGCTGAAGAAAACACAATGGATTGGTTTGCAGCAACAGAAACAGGGCTGAGGCTGCCACTTTTTTGTGTATGTGTCATTGCTAGGACTTGAACTCAGGGTGAGGGTTCTATCTCTTTTTCACACTCAAGGTTGGCACTCTACTATCTGAGCCACAGCTCCATATCTGGCTTTTTGCTGGCTATTTGGAGATAAGAGTGTCACAGAGTTTCCTGACTTCAAGCCAGGATCTTCAGATCTCAGCTTTTTGAGCAGCTAGGATTACAGGAGTATGAGCTTATCAACCAGCAGCTACTTTTCTTTTTATCCTGGTGTTTGAACTCAGGGCCTTACTCCTTGAGTCCTTTGTAGGTTTTTGTTTTTTTTTCTGTTGGTTGTGGGGCTTGAACTCTGGTCCTGGGTGCTATCCCTCAGCTCTTCAGCTCAAGGTGAGTGCTCTACCCTTGAACCATAGCACCACTTCCTGTGTTATTTTTTAAATAGGGTCTCATATTTAGTCTGGAGGCCTAAACATGATTCATACACATGTAATTGTGCCAAGCTTTTATTGGTTGAGAAGAGGATCTGCTATCTTTTTTAATGGGGCCTCCAACTATGATCTTGTGTACATCCCTTAAATACCTAGAATTACAGGTGTGAGCCACGGTGCTCAGCCTGCTGTCGCTTTTCTGCCTTCCTTCCTTCCTTCCTTCCTTCCTTCCTTCCTTCCTTCCTTCCTTCCTTCCTTTCCCTCCCCTCCCTCCTTCCCTTCCTCCTTCCCTCTCACCTTTCCTTCTTTCCCTTTTTTATCAGAGACCAGGACTCAAACTTAGTACCTGACACTTTTGCTCATTAGCTGGCACTGTACCAATGGAGCCATGCTTCGAACCCCTAGCTGTCACTTTGGTGTTAATATCATGCAAGAGAACACTCAGTTTCTGAAACTGTATTGTTTTTTAAAAATGTTTTTCTTTCTTTCTTTTACTTCAGACACAGCAAGAGCTCAGAGTCAGGAAAAGGCGGGATGAAGCTCACTGATGCCCGAGCAGCTGTAATCTGCCAGCCAGAGGGGCCTTTGCTGGCCACCTCTTGTGGCCCATCCCAGAGAGGTAGGTTGGTGGAAGGGAGTAGTATTGGGGGAGGGAGAAGAAAGAATGTTTTGCTGGTAGGTTAAGAATTTGGAGAAAACCCACAGTCTCTGACTCTCTAGCCAAAAGAGAACTTCTCCAGAGACTTAGCATGGTCAGATGAAGAGAATGGGGGCAGTGGATACAGATCAGTGCCTGAGCCCAAACGTAGCATGCACAAGGCCCTGGTTTCCATCCCAGCACCAGAGAAAGAGATACTGAGAAAATGAGAATCACCACATTTGTGCTCTGAGAGACCAACGGGGAAGTCAACTAGAGCTCAGCTAGCCTCCCAAGGGAGGGTGCTACCTGGGGAAGGAGAAGATGGCTCTAGGCTAGGGCACCCCAACTAGGATTACAGATGTGAGGTGAGCCTCCAATGTCTGACCTTCAGGTCTTTGTAAGCAGTGAGTGTGTCAATAATCTATGAGCTCCTTCTTTGCTTAATTAATGAAAGTCAAGTGGTTTTTGTTTTGTTTCGTGCTGGTCCTGGGGCTTCCATTCAGAGCCTGGGCATTGTCCCTGAGATTTTTGTGTTTTTTTAAAAATGGTTACTATAGAAGAATGGACAGAAGGGTTACAGTTACATAAGTCAAGTAAAGAGTACATTTCTTTTTGGACAGTGTCACCCCCTTCCCTCACTCTCTCCCAATTTTTCCCTCCTGTCCCCACCTACAAGTTATAAAGTTCATTTTCATTTCATTTCATTTACTGTCTAGTGAGTACCACTGTTGATTTGTGCACCCTTTCTGTGCCTCTTCTTACCCTCCAAAAGACAGAGAAAAAAAAGTAAGACAAAAAGAAAAGAAAGGGGCTGGGAAGGTGGCTCAGCGATAGAGTGCTTGCCTTGCATGCATTAGACCCTGAGCATCACATAAACAGAAAAAGGCCAGAAGTGGAGCTGTGGCTCAAGTGGTAGAGTACTAGCCTTTAGCTGAAGAGCTCAGGGACAGTGCCCAGGCCTAGAGTTCAAGCCCCACGACTGACTAAAAAGAAAAGAAAAGAAAAATAACAGCAAAGAAAAAAACCCTCTTGTTTCTATTGCCTGGAGTTCATTTAGATAAATGTTATTCTGTGTGATCAGATGCAGATAGGCATTGCACCTTTGTATTCCTCTCCTAAGAGTATCCTCCTTTGGTCCCAATGTACTTTAGGTCTAGCTTCCAATATGAGAGAAAACATCCATCATTTGTGTCTCTGAGCTTGGCTTACCTCACTTAACATGATTTGTTCTAGGTCCATCCATTTCCCTGCAGGTGACATAATATTATTCTTTCTAATTGCTGTGTAAAATTTCATTGCATGTAGATACCACATATTTTGGAACCACTCATCCATCGTGGGGCATCTAGGCTGTTTCCATAGCTTGGCTATTGTAAGTAGTGCAGCAATGAACATGGATGTACAAGTGTCTTTATGATATCCTGGTTTGTGATGCTGTGAGTAGATGCCCAGAGTGGTATGGCTAGGTTCTAGGGAAGATCTATGTTTATTTGGTTTTATTGCTTTGTTTTGTTTTCTGGTCCTGGGGCTTGAACTCAGGGCTTATGTTCTGTCTGTGAGACTCTCTGTGCTCAAGGCTAGTGCTCTACCACTTGAGCTACAGTACCACTTCTGGCTTTGTCTGAGTAGTTTATTGGAGATAAGAGTCTCATGGAGCCAGGCGCTGGTGGCTCACGCCTGTAATCCTAGCTACTCAGGAGGCTGAGATCTGAGGATCTCGGTTCAAAGCCAGCCCGCGCAGGAGAGACCGTGAGACTCCTATCTCCAATAAACCACCAGAAAACCGGAAGTGGCGCTGTAGCTCAAGTGGTAGAATGCTCACCTTGAGCTGAAGAGCTGAGGAACAGCGCCCAGGCCCAGAGTTCAAGCCCCACGACCGACCCAAAAAAAACAAAAAAAAGAGTCTCATGGACTTTCCTGTCCAGGCTGGCTTCAAACCCTGATCCTCAGATGTCAGCCTCCTCAGTAGCTAGGATTACAGGTGTGAGCCACCTGCACCTGGCAATGTTTAGTTTTTTGAGGAAATTCCAGACTATTGTTCAGAGTGGTTGTACTAGTTTATATTCCCACCAACAATGCTATAGGGTTCTTTTCCGCATATCCCTGCCAACATTTGTTGTCATCCAAATTCACAATGTTGGCCAATCTAACTGGGTGAGATGGAATTTCAGAGTTATTTTTGCTTTACATTTCCTCATGTGTTTCTTTGCCATTCTTTTTTTTTTTTTTGGGTCCAGTCGAGGGGCCTGAACTCTGGGCCTGGGCGCTGTCCCTCAGCTCTTCAGCTCAAGGCTAGCGCTCTACCACTTGAGCCACAGCGCCACTTCCGGCTTTTTTCTTTTTGCTTATGTGGTGCTGAGGAATCGAACCCAGGGCCTCGAGCATGCAAGGCAAGCGCTCTGCCACTGAGCCACCTTCCCAGCCCCTTCTTTGCCATTCTTACCTCTTCTTCTGAGAAGTCTCTCCTTAGCTCCCTTGCCCGTCTAGTTATTGGTTTCTTAGCTGTAGGCAGTGCTAGTTTCTTGAACTCCTTGTATATATTGGTTATTAGGCCTTTGTTAGATATATTGCTGGTAAAGATCTCCCAGTCTGTTGGCTGTCTTTCTAGTTTAGAAACTATATCCTTTGCGGTGTAGAAACTTTTTAGTTTGATATAATCCCATTTGTCAAGTCTCTCTCCATCTGCTTTGTCCTTGGGACTCTTTAAACAGTTTATACCTATGCCTATGAGTTCTAGTGTTTCTCCTATTCCCTCCTTAAAGATTGAGTTCTGATGTTGAGGTCTTTTTTTTTTTTTGTCGGTTGTGGGGCTTGAACTCTGGTCTTGGGTGCTATCCCTCAGCTCTTCAGCTCAAGGTGAATGCTCTACCGCTTGAGCCACAACACCACTTCGGGTTTTCTAGTGGTTTACTGGGGATAAGAGTCTCACAGACTTTCCTGCTCAGGCTGGCTTTGAACCGTGATTCTCAGATCTCAGCCTCCTAAGTAGCTAGGATTACAGGCATGAGCTACCGGCGCCCGGCTTTCTGTTGAGGTCTTTTGATTTGCTTTGAGTTGATATTAGTGCATGGTGATAAGCAGGGATCCACTTTTAGTTTTCTGTCCAGTTTTCCCAACACCAATTGTGGAAGAAACTACCTTTATTCCACCGTATATCTTTGCCTCTTTTATCAAATATCAGATAACTGCAAATATATGGATTTATTTCTGGGTCTTCTAGCCTTGCATTGATCCTACGGTCTATTTTTGTGCCAATACCAAGCCACTTTTGTTATTATAGTTCTGTAGTAGAGCTTGAAGTCTGGTATTGAGATACCACCAGCATTGCTTTTTTTCCTCAGAATTGCTTTGGCTATTCAAGGTCCAAGGTCTTTTGTTGTTCCACATGAATTTTTGGATTGTTTTCCTTATCTCAGTAAAGAACTTTATTGGGATTTTGATGGGCATTGCATTAAATTTGGGGATCATTTTTGGCAGTTATGGCCATTTTTACCCTGTTAAAATCTACTTATTCATGAACACGGAAGGTCATTCCATTTCCTGATAATCTCTTTGACTTCTTTCTTCAAACTTTTATAGTTTTCTCTATAAAGGTCTTTGCTTCTTTGGTAAAGTTTATTCCTAGATTTTTTTTGAGGCTATTGCAAATGCAAGTGTTTTCTCTCTGTGTTTGTACAGTGTTAGTGTACAGAAATATTACTGATTTTTGTGGTGTAATTTTATATCCTGCTACTTTGCCAAAGTTATCAATTAACTCTAGGAGCTTGGGAATGGAGTCTTTTGGTTCCTTTAGATATTATATCATGTAATCTTGGGACTACATGAAATTACAGAGCTTCTTCTGCATGGCAAAGGACATAGCTAGGAAGATCAATAGAAAGCCCACCGATTGGGAGAAGATCTTCACTAGCCATACAATGGACAAGGGTCTCATATCGAAAATATACCTGGAACTCAAAAAATTAAATCCCTCAACAACAAATCCTCAAAGAAACAAGTGTGCAATAAATAAGTGGGCTAAAGACTTACAGAGAAACTTCTCTGAATAGGAAAGAAGGATGACCAATAGACACATGAAGAAATGCTCAGCCTCTCTAGCCATAAAAGAAATGCAAATCAAAACAACATTGAGATACCACCTCATCCCAGTTAGAATGGCTAAAATCAAGAACTCTAATAACAACAGATGCTGGAGGGGATGTGGACAGAAGGGAACCCTACTGCATTGTTGGTGGGAGTGTAAACTTGTTCAACCACTTTGGAAAGTAGTATGGAGGCTCAAAAGACTCTACATAGAGTTCCCCTATGACCCAGCAATCCCACTTTTGGGCATTTACCCAAATGATCACAAACAAGACCATACTAAAGCTACCAGCACAACTATGTTTATTGCAGCATTATTTACCATAGCTAAGATATGGAACCAACCCAGATGCCCCTCAGTAGATGAATAGATCAAGAAAATGTGGGATATATACACAATGGAATTCTATGCCTCCATCAGAAAGAATGGCATTGCCCCATTTGTTAGGAAATGGAAAGACTTGGAAAAAATTATATTAAGTGAAGTAAGCCTGGCCCAGAGAAACATAGGTCCCATGGTTTCCCTTATTTGTAATAACTAGTATATGTCTGAGACAAGCAAAAACAGTCAGATAAGTTGATGTTAGGCGAAATGAACCCCAAGCTAAGGATTCAAATGTTTTTTTCTTTCTTGCCATTGTTTCTAACATATTTATAAGATGATTTCTGTATTGCTTTGTATGTCCCTCCCCCCACAGTATAACCTCTGTTTTCACTGTATTTGATGTTGGTATACTTTGTGGAGGGGAATGGGAAAAAAAATTGCTTAAATAGGGATACAGGTGGACCCATTGCAACAATGAGATGTACAAGACATTTTGTTGAAAAATGAACTTTACAACTTTGGCGGGGGTGTGGGGGGAGCTGGGAAGGGATGAGAAGGGGAAACAAAGGAG